CTGGTCTGGTTGCAAGAAGAGGATGTGCGATTGCCGCACGGAAGGCCACCAGGACCGAATGCGCCCGGGCATCGCCTGCGAGGCAAAGGCGACGGGGGCCTTCGCAACCGTCGTCGGCGCCGTCGTCGTCGCGCGCGATTGCCGCGGCGTCGGCCGCGCCGTCGTTGTCGTCGTCGTCGTCGTCAAAGGCGGGGGGGAAGAGGAGGAGGAGGAGGAGGAGGAGGAGGAGGAGGAGGAGGAGGAGGAGGAGGCCCCCCCCAGCCGCGATTTCTGACTCTGTCTCTCCGCCGCGCATCGCCCGCGGCGGCCGCCCCGCGCGGACCGCGCACGGGCCGCAGCTCGGGTGGGCAGCGCCCCTGGGGGCCGCCCACCTCTCCACGCGCGTCTTGCGGAGGCGCGTGGAGCCTCGGGGCCGAGCGCGCCATCTGCGTGGGGCACGGTTCACCCCCGAGATCCTCAGCACCCCACGCAGCGCCCCCAGCACGCGCGTGCTGGGCACCCTGCGCGACACGCCTTCCAGGGAAGATTGCAGTAGCTGAATCGCCCAGTCCAGTCCCACTGCACGTCGTGCTGGTCACAGTAGTGCTGCTGTCGACGTGCTGGTCACGGCGGTGCTGCTGCCGCGGGTGCTGCACGTCGCACTGGTCGACGTTGCGCTGCTGCTCTCCGTTCCGTGGCTGGTTAGTAGCCGCGCCGAGGAGTCGTAGCACCCATCTCATCCTTCTCTCCTCGTCACTCTCCACTGCTCTCGCCGGGGCCGGTGGTGGCGTTGGAGTCTCGCCCCAGCTCGCGTCGGCGCTGCGCCCCACAGCGGCTTCGTCATGCTGGGTTGGAGCCGCCCGCCCTGCGCGGGCCGCGCGCGGGCCGCGGCTCGGGTGGGCCGCGCCCCCGGGTGCCACCCACCCCACCACGCGCGTCTTACGGAGGCGCGTGGGGCCCCGGTGCCGAGCACGCCCTCCGCGATGGCCGCGGCTCACCCCCGAGATCCCCAGCGCCCCGCGCATCGCCCCCAGCACGCAAGTGCTGGGCACCCTGCACGACATGCCTTCCACGGAAGGTGGAAGTAGCTGCTTCGCCCAGGCCAGTCACACTGCTTGTCGCTTCGGTCACAGCGGCGCTGCTGTCGGCGCGCGGGTCACGGTGGCGCTGCCGCCGCGGGCGCTGCACGTCGCGCTGGTCAGCGTCGCGCTGCCGCTTTCCGATGCGTCGCTGGCGAGTCGTCGCGCTGAGGAATCGTTGCGCCCATCTCCTTCCACCCTTCTCGTCGCCTTCCTCCGCCGTCGCTAAGGCTGGAAGTGGCACCGGGGTCTCGCCCCTCTCCGCGTCGGCACAGCATCGGCTGCTCGGCTCGCCCTGTTGGGTTGGAGCAGTCAAGTTCCGCAGGCGAGGGCCTTCAAACGCATCTCCTCGCTGACTTCCCGACTGCCCCCGCACGCGGACGCAGGGAGCGCTCGCCCCCCCCCCCCTCCCCCCTCCACGACGATGTTCGCAGCAGGTTGCGTCCTGGGAGTGCTGCTGGCGATGGCGCTGGACGCAACGTCGCACTGCTGCCACTGCTCAATGTCGCCGTGCTGCTGCAATGGTTGCTGTCCTTCTGTGCTTGTCTCGGGCTGGGCGTCGTCGCTGGGCATGCCAGTGCCGCGCCCGCCCCTGCCGTCGGGATGGTCGCGGGCGCTGGTCTCGCGCGCAGCGATGTCGAGCCAACGCTGCAGCTTGCATCTGAAGCTGTTGCACCCAGGGCGCCCGTTGCATTACGCAGTCATCTTTTCCGATCTGTACTCCGTAGTAGAGGCGCCACATCGCCTGCGAACCCAGCGCGCCTCTGCTCGCACGAAGATGAATGGGTGGCCGCGGCGCGCAGAGTGGCCGCGCCGTGCGATGGAGTGCCCTTTGGTCGGCGGTGGTCCAGCGCAGCCCTGTTGGAACCACGCTCTCACCCCTTCGAAGCTGGCGCCCCGTCCAACCCGCTGCGCGCAGCACTTGCAGACCCATCCTATCCCACGTCGTGGCCTCGTCAGGTCGCGGGCGGTGAGCGGGCGTCGTCCGTCTGGCCGCGGTGGCCCGGCGGCACAGTAGCCCCGTCGGCGTCTTTGCTGCGCCCGTCGTCGCTTCAAATGGGCTCTTCGTGCTGCTCGTACTCCGCGGTCCTCTGTTGGGCGTCGGAATATGGCGTCGACTGTGGCGGCGGCAATGCGGCGTCGCACAAGTGCTGCCGTAGCGTTGACCCCGTCGCAGCATGACATTTGGGCGTCGCCGATGTCGCGCTCGCGGGCTGCATTCTCTGCGAGCTCCTCCACCAGGCTGTTGCCGTAGCACGCGTGGAGGGGAAACCCTCGCGCTCGCGCTTCCTCCCAAGTGAGGTGACTGTCGATGTCGTGGACTGCTATGTGCGATGGCCCCCGGTCGTCGCGGCGGTTGAGCTCGCCCCCGACGAGTTCCCAGAGGTCGTCGTTAGCGTCGGCTGCGGCTGTTCCGATACCGTCTGTCGCGCCATCCCTTGTACACGCTGTCCGCCCAGTAGAGTGGTGGCCCAGTGGTGCGGCGTAGGAAATCTAGGAGGGCCCATACTTCTGCTCGGTTGCTTGTCTGTCGCCTGCGCGGTAGGTGGCCGAAGCGCGCAGCTGCAATGTTAAAGCCGCCGCTCTCGGAGCCTGATAGCCGCGCCCAGGCCCACCCACATCTGCGTCGCCGCCAGTCTGCACTGCGCGCGCCCCCCGATCCGTCTCCGCAGATGACCGGGGCGACCCGTCTGATGTGCTGATCTTGTCTGCGTGGATCATCTCGCCGATGCTGCTGGCATCCTCATTTGTGGCGCATTCTGGCGGTGCCGACCAAGCATACGGCGCGATGCCACGTAGCCAGAAGGCCGGCGTGGCGCGGTGGCCTGGTTCGGCCTGTAGGAGAAGGAGGAGGAGGAGCAGCAGGGGCAGCATGAGCAGGAGGAGCAGGACGAGGAACAAGAATTGCGGGGGGAAGCTCGACGACAGAAAGCACGGCGGCAAGAAGATCTAGATCCGCGGGCTTCACAACCCACCAACACAGCTTGCACGAGCCAGCGCCGAAGCCAAACGGCGGCAGAAAATTCGACTTGAGTCGGGATTGCACGGGCCGTCGAACAGCTCTGGCTCAGACGCAGGAGCGGGGAGAAGAGAACCAGAACTGCCCGAGCCCAAAACATTCACAACTCAGCAAGGATACGCTATCGCCGTCTGGTTTGACGGCTCGGCGCGGCAGAAGGCGGGCCCACAAGCTGCCGGGAGCTCCCTCGCGCTCTTAAAAGCGGCACCAAGGAGCCGGCCGGGGAACACACGGCGACTCCGAAAGGCAGGGGGCGGCGGTGATTCGCCTCGGGCGTCTTCGATAGTGGACGTTTTCGCCTAGATCCGAGCTGGCGTTTGACGAGGCTCCGCTGACGCAGACGGCCCCGTCCACCGGCGCCCGCGCGGCGGCCGGGCACGCAGCCTGCAACGGCGCGCGGCTCTGCGACGGGCCCGCGGCGAACGCCACGGCGCCCCCAGCACCACGGAGCTCGGCGGCGCTGGCTGCCCAGGGGTCGAGGCCCCGAGCGCGCCATGGGCCCGCCACGGGCGCGTCGTAACTGTTGTCAGCGGTCACGCCCACGAAGTCTCCGAACGACGGCGGCGACCGAAGGGCTCTGGCACCCACGGCGTTGCCCACGCGCCTGAGCATCGTCGTGGGACTGTTGAACTCAGGCCGGGAGGCTGGGCAACGATTTCCGCGGGGCTGGAGCAGCATCCTGAAACGGCTAAATGCGAGGCCGACCGCTCGGAGGAGCAACCAGCTGTAGCGGCCTCACGACATCGCAGCTCCAGTATTGCGAATAGCTCGGAATCGCAGCGCAAGGCGTCGCGAGAGCAACGCATCGGTAGTCTCGCTGCGTTGCCTGGTGGCGCGACTCCGCGCCCAGTGGACCGAACTGGACGGCGAGGTTCGCGATGAGGTAGGCCACGGCATCCTCGTGATGGCCGTCGACCATGCATCCTTCCGTCGCCTTCGCGAAGCTCATGGAGCGCGCGACCTCGCGAGCGGTTCCATCAAGGTTGGGGGCAACGGCAGAGCGCTGCTGGGCGTGTCTTTATCCGTAGCGAGCACACTCCACGCGAACAAATCCTGCACGCGGCGGCGATATGGATAGCCTGACTCGCGCTCACGTGACCATGCAGGCGGTTGGTGGGAAGTGGCCCCACCACGACCGCCTCCACCGCCCTGTGGGCTGGCCCCGCCCAGCATCATGCCAGCGAGCCAGAGAACGGCGATCACGAAGTACAACATGAGGATGCCACCCCAAAACGTCAACATGGAGATAATCATCGTCAAGACTCCACCACGACCAAAACTGCGGAGGCGTCTTGGGGCTCGGCCCTGCGCATGGACGAACGCCATGTCGAAGCTGGGAGCAGCCGCAGTAGTGCTGACAGCCTTGATAGAGGCCACGGGGAGTAAGAATGGTGCATTAACATGCACTGGTCCACTCGAATGGCGCGACGCGTTCGCCGCAAACAACTAGCATGATCGCACACACCACGAGACACGGTGCTAGCCCAGGCAGGAGCTCCGCTGTCATGCCCGACGAAAAGCCACGGCCAGTACACGTGGGGCTGTGAGGTTTGTAGGGTGTCGTGGCACCCCCGTGGGCGTACACTGACCTCACGGCGCCGTCAGCTGTTGTTGCCCGCACTGCCTGTTTCTCACACCGACTCGAAAGAGGTTGCGCGTCTGCGAGCGTCCAGGGCGAATTGCCCGCGCACTTGCAGAACAGCCGTAAGCACAATATGGTCAAGGAACACAGGGTGGTACGAATGCGTAAGCGAAGGGAAATTCGAATGCGCGTCCACATCGCACTTTGCATACGTTCCATGGATCGCAAACTGGGAAAGATCCCATCTCCGCTGCAAATTAGAAATCCAGGAGTTGGAAAATTGGCAGAGGAAAGCATAGCGGTAAGAAAATGTGGACCTGCGGGCTTTTCAACTCATCGA